AGAAGAGCCTTGGTGATCTAGGTTTGTTTTTATCTGCGACATTTTCTTACTATCTCTTCTAACCGCTTGTAGGCATCAAGCAGAATAGCTTTATCACCATTATCGATGAGGATGACGAGGATACATTCGTCAACGTCGTCATCAACGTCCAAGAAGCGTAAGTCGAAGTCTAGTCTTTGCTTGTGCTAGGCTAGCTGCTAACTTTTCCCTTCAGTGAGCTCGCCGACAAGCCTATCAAGGGCCTCGAAGCCGATCAGGCGCCGACCATCCCTCGCAAGCCGAAGAGGGCACTTCCGATACAGACGAATGGGGTCAGCCAAACCAATGGCAAGCATGCTGCCGATGCAGAAGCTCCTAGCAACGACAAGAAACGTTCTAGGGCAGACGACACCGAATCCCCACAAGCGAAGAAGGTCAAATCTGCAGCTGCGGCTGCAGCCGGGGACGACGTGGTCATCATCGACGATGACGTTGGGACTGGGGCTATCGAGATCATCGACTGAGTGATTTATTTCCCAGGACTAGCGGAACTAGTTGTGAGAGCTACGTCGCACTCAAACCTCCATCGATGTTGAGGACGCAATTATGGGCGTAGGTATTTTGAGCGAGGAATAATGCGGCATCTGCCACCTCCTCGGCCAAGCCTAGTCGTCCTATGGGGATCAAAGCAGAAAGTTCGTCATGCTTATCCATGCCTGGTCGAGCTTTGTATATTAGTAATCTTGTATCTTGTAAGGCGGCGTAGTGGGTTAACGGGAGAAGTTCGGAGGGCACGGGGGGAAAAGAAAACATTTGAGAGGATGAGATGTCACCTTTCGTCATGTCGGTCTGGATATATCCGGGCAGGAGGACATTGGCACGGATGCCAAATCTGCCCACTTCCCAGGCCAAAGACCGCGTTAGAGCTAGAACACGAGCTTTTTTAGCTATCTATGTACCTCACGAGCTGGCCAAGATAGTTATTGATTGCATACCAACGACGCCGGCTTTTGATGCGGCATACACACTCGCTCCTCGTCCACCGTGAGTCGCTAACAGACTAGACACGTTGATGATGCATCCTGAAGTTCATTTTAGTCGCCTGTTATATCATTACTGCTGCAGAGTTCGAGTAGATGCTTAACTGACCGCCCTTCTGTTTCATCATCTTGGGTACGAGTGTTTTACAACCATATATGGTGCCCACCAGATTGGTTTCGACGATCTTATCTATGCTCGGAATAGGGGCATTGAATAGAAATCCATTCTGCGAGATGCCGGCGGCGTTGACGAGAATGTCGCACTTTTGCTAGTTCTAACGTATCAGCGCTAGCTTTAGAACATCGTGGGCGCGACCATAAGCCGCAAGATATAAGTGAGGCTCTAGTCTTACATTTTTCATACTAGCCATCAATTTCTCCCAACCGTTTATCACTGCAACGTCAAAAACGTTTATGTCATGCTGCTGTGATGAATCTTTCTTATCCAGCGAGTCCAGTGCGCTGACGAGGGTGTTTTGGCTCCGGCCGATCAGGGTGCAACCTGCCCCTTGGGCGGCGAACAGCCGGGCGATGGCGAGACCGATTCCTCGGCTGCCGCCCGTGATGACGCAGTTTTTGCCGGCTAGGGACTGCATTATTCTCGCTCCTCTCTTACAATTCACCCATGCAAGATGAGAGTCAGGGGTACGACTTTGCACATATGTACAATGCTCTCATATATCTTTTTTTTTTGATACTGTAATGAGCTAGTGCATCAATGTTCAATGCCTCAATGTTAATGTTGAAATTGAAATAGTTCATATCACGCTTGAGACATTAATCGTAGAAAATACATCTGATACCTACGAAATTTCCGAAAAATACATGTCACTTCGTACAATGTTACCAGGCTCTAAAAAGGCGGCGCCCGCGGGACGGAGTTGAACCAACAAGCATTAAAACGTCGACTCTGATTAGCCGCTACGCCTGCAATTTATATGCAAGTTTCCCCTGAAAGTCGAGGCCCCTGGCCCCTAATATGTACTTAAACAGAGCAGCCATGGGTGCGAATGCGAAAGACTGACGACACGGATGTGGGGGGATTTTGGACGGAAGGGAAACAACACAATGGCCCCATTCTGATTTGCGGTTGGTCGCGAATTTGAGTTGGGATCCCCAAACTCTGAATTGGAACGAAGGGACGGACAAACGATAAATAAAACCAACGCAGCAAGCCAACAAAAGTATAAAAGCTAGAGGTATAAATAAAATTTATTATATTCATTATGTAGGAGAGAGGGAGAGAGAGAAGAAAAACAACCTTACATGCGAAATCGTTTGTGGCTTAGAAGACGGGCGGATCGATTGAATCCTACATCATTTCTTTCCTTTTCTACCTTCTTAATCCTGACGGCTGCATACTTCCTCTTTGCATTCTGTTTACGTTAGTATAGGCATACATAAAAGATAACGAGAGCAATATCATTTTTATTTCGATGCGCCATCGACCTCGACACTCGAACCCTCGAACAAATACTGCACCCCCGATCGGATTCGGGACTGGAACGCCGCCAGTGAGCATAGCCCGCCGCTCGTTCATGCCGCTGGCCGAATCCAAGAGGACAGACCCCCGGATCCGATGAATACCAGCTTTTCCCACGCCAATGGCGTTGGCGCGGGCACCAAGATCGACACGGCGACCGAAAAGGCAGAGCCGGTAGTAGTCGACGCCGGGCTGCAGAGCTTAGATCATTGTAGGTGCTACGCTATCTCTTATACGGGCAGCAGGCAGAAGCATGTGGGATTGTCGCGCACACGACATATTGCTACTTTATACAAGAGCATCGAGGGCCAGGATATCGCATATAGGAACTCTACAATACAAAAGCCTCGCATGCTAATATTTTCGAGTACAGATAAGCGCGCTCTTCCCAAATGGCGATACTATTTGCGACAGCAAGCCCTCCCCCTCGTCCGATGGGAGACACCGTACTTGGCCTGGCTGCAGGCCACCCTTCGCTTCCCGGCGCTCGATAGTTACTTCGCCATCACGGCCAACCTCGGAACGCATACCTTCTTCATGATCGGGTTACCTATCTTGTTCTGGTGCGGGTACGCTTCCTTCGGGAAAGGGATCGTACATATCCTCGCATCAGGTGTTTTCTTTACCGGTTTCGTCAAGGACTTCTTCTCCCTCCCGCGACCCTTATCGCCGCCCCTCCATCGTATTACCATGTCCGGCTCGGCAGCGCTCGAGTACGGTTTCCCGTCCACGCATTCTGCGAACGCCGTCTCAGTCGCTGTATACGCACTATTATGCCTTCGGTCGCCCGATAGTACTTACGAGCCTAGCACCCGGGCCACGCTCGAAGGACTAGCCTACTTCTACGCGATCAGCATCGTCTTCGGCCGCCTCTACTGCGGCATGCACGGCTTTTTGGATGTCATCGTAGGATCCGTCATGGGTGCCGTTATTTCGCTTGTCGAGTTCTATTACGGCCCATCCCTCGAATTGTTCCTCTCGAATGGTTGGACGAGTCTCTGCGGTTTGTTGTTGTTAATTATCCTTTTAATTAGGGTACATCCCGAGCCTGCGGATGATTGCCCTTGTTTCGACGACAGTGTTGCGTTCGCGGGTGTTATGATGGGACTCGAGATCGGGACGTGGCGCTTCGGACGATCGTCCTGGGTTGATATCCCATTCGACTTGAACGCGCTGGGCTGGCCGGTTGTTATTTTACGTATTGTATTCGGTGTGCTTATCATCTTCGCGTGGCGCGAGGTGGCTAAACCCTCCCTACTTAAGGGATTGCCGCACCTATTCCGCCTCATCGAATTCTGGGGCCTAAATTTGCCGCGCCGCTTCTTCATGCCGGCGTCCGAGTACAAGAACATTCCATTGCGGCTGAGGGTCGACAACGTCATGCCTAACGTGAGCGATCTGCCAGGACTCATCACGGCCGTACGGCATCCGGGCCGCGGTAGGTCCGTGTCTATCGGTCCCCAGAGTGCGGCCGACGCATACGAGACTCTGGCATATCGGGAACGACGGCGCAGGGAGAGTGTGAGTGTCGGGCCTGGTGCCGATCCGAGCCTGCGCAACAAGGCCAGCATCCCGGAGATACGGACACCGGACAACGACTATGATAGCCGCCCACCCCCGGCGCGGAGCTCCGGCATCAGCAGTACGCAACATAATAGGCTGTCCGATTTCGAGAAGCTGATGGGAGAGGGCACCGTAGTCGTCTCGCCGGTCGAGATCACTGCGGGCGAAGAAGGGGCAGAGCCGGAGGTGTATATCGGTTCGCAAGATGAGCTCGGCCACAAGGAGGTCTTCTCGAAGCTAGTGAAGCCGCGTGTCAGGTACGACGTCGAGGTCGTTACCAAGCTCGTCGTCTATGCTGGTGAGTTATATTTTATTCTCAGCTTCAAATTTATGGGCTATGCTTGCAGATCGTGTGGCTAACTAAGGAACTAGGCATCGGCTGGCTGGCTGTCGAAGTCGTGCCCGTATTATACGAGTTCATTCCTGGCTTAGGGGCCGGGCATCTCCGAGTCGCATGAGACACTTGGAGACATTACGGTTACATACGAAGCGCGTGCACTTGAGACAATGTGCACCTAATGGCGTTGGTGGTGACCCCCCGTGTGCGTCTTGTCTTGTCCTGCGTGCCCTCTTCTGAAACGGCATAGGATAGGATGCATTTCTTCTTGTATATATATAATTCTTCTGGTAGAGCTAATACGTACCCCCTTTACCCTTGTTCGCATATATTTAATTTACTTTACTTTTACGTGGAACATGTTCGGTAAAGGGGACTGCACTTCATCCCACTATCGAACTAATTTTAAGACAGTATCACGATAGCGATACGAACCAGATTCTAGTGCGCAGTCAATTCCCAGGACATTTGCATATTTCCTGTGGACATTTACCATTATAAAAACTAACCATACCTAATTACACCAACTCTACGACTGGTACATAGTGTATTGGGCTGCTGGAGGGAGAGAGAAAAAATCAAAAATAAGAAATTCGAATGGCGGTTCTGGAAATCGAATCCAGGTTTACACGGGATTATTTTACTAACCACAACGTGTTGTACTAACCACTATACGAAACCACCCTTTCACTCTGTCTTTGAGCACGTGACATTTCAGTCTGTAATTTTGCTACATATGTAGCCTAAGCGCTAGCTCCGTCCTATTCACCAAACACCGGACACCACGGCTATGGAAACTAACCTAACACTAGTTTGTCATTGCGCTTCGAACTCATAATGGTCGTACATGGTACAATAGCTGAGTTATGGGTTAGCAAAATCGTGTTGAGGGATGGCGAAGGGATATAGGGAACTGACAGTAGTATCTTTACATCTGCTTCCAGCCATATTGCATACGATGATATCCTAGACCTCTCTCTGCGCGCCCTCGCGCTCCTGCAGACCGGGACCCAGGTACGCCGGCGGCGGCGTCTGCACGCGCGGACGCATCACGGCGCCATTGCCATTGCCATTGGAATTGGAATTGCCCTCCATGGCAGCATTGCGGTCGAGCTGCGTGTACCTCGGCAGCGGCTCGAGCTCCAAGCTCAGCGACCCGACGCTGGCATCCACCGCCACCTCCTCGTCGTCCTCGTCGCTGCTCAGGAACGAATCCCTGTCCATTCTTCGATGCGGGCGGCGGTTCTTGCGTCGGCGCAGGCGGAAGCCGCGGCCACCGCCACGCCGGCGCGTGCGCACGCGGCTGCGCAGCTTCTCCGGCAGCAGCCTCCAGACAGCCGCGACGACGATGCCGGGGACCGCGAGGGCCGCGAGCAGCAGCGCGATGCCGAGGCCGGCTAGTAGCAGCGACGGCCACGGCGGCAGGCACAGCAAGGATTTGGTGCCGCCGTCGCAGCGCGCGTACGCGACCCGGAACCCCGCCGCCACGCACATGCACGCGTAGATGCACACGAAGCAGTAGAAGAGGGCTAGCAGCGGCGAGCCGATCATGGCGAACGGCGTGAAGTCGGTGATTTGGCTGTTGGTTGTCATTGTGGGTGCTCTCTTGGTGCTCTCTTGGTGCTCGTCTAGGCTAAGTAGGTAGGGATGAGAATATGAATGAGAATGAGAATGACGTCTTTTGTCGAACAGTAAGTGACGATGTCTAGTTCGTCGTTGGCGTTTCGTCGTTTAGTCACCAGAAGGGAAAGCCGTGGCTTCGTCTAGGAGATTGATGGATGGATTGACTGATGGATTCGATGCTGGAAGTCCGCATGCGTAAAGTAAAGTCAAGAAGGTCGTTAGTTTTGGTTTCTGCCCGGACGAGAGCCTCTGGTCCCCCTCATGGCGATTAGGGCTCCGTCCCAAGCGATTGGCGACACCAACGCTCGTGCCTGGCTTGGAGTTTACTGCCGGGCTAACGACGGCCATGGGCGCGATGCTCGGATGGTGGCTGGGTCATAGCTGAGGCCTCCTCTCGCATGATGGGAGGGCTACGAAGACACTGCTGGCTTATTCGTGCTGTGAGGTAAGTAAATGTACCACTGAGCAGTAGATAGTAAATTTCAATGGTGATAGTCGCATCTTCAGCTATACAGCTTCGTAAAATGCTTCCAGCGTTTCTTGGGTATGAGAATTGAGTTCACCTCAAGGGCTTCACTAACGTTAACCCTAAAATATTCCATCACAAACTCCATTACAATGCGCACTGGAATTCCTGTACTAGATCTAGGAGCTGTTCGTAATGCTTTCACTGTTCTGTACATCCGAGCACAGCTGATCTGGTGCCATCCATAAATGGTTTTGTGTGGTTGGGTCGAGATACATTGCGGATGGGGCATACCTTTCACCGTTCGAGTGCTGTTCGAGCGATAGAGGAGGGTATCACATTGTATGGCAATGAAAATCTATGCAGCACAGTTTCAAAGAAAGAATAGCTAGGAATATGAATATTACAATTTCTGTAGGGACAAATTACAGGATATGTATGTGATGTAGAAGATGGCATATATCTTGCTCTCCTTGCCTTGATCTAACAATCACTTCGGAGATGTGTCTAGCTTTCTAAAGACCAATGATAAACATGCAGTACTATTTCCACCGAACTTATAGTAGGCATTTGACCAAGGGGTAAGGCAACTTATAATCATTGCATCACCTTCTTGACATACATTGCTGGAAAGGGGGTCACTATTACTGATATCCGTAAAGCTCCTTACTATCATCAGAAATCTTCCTTGCTGGCGATTAACAAGGCGGCTACTTATACATTATATTTAGGCCTGTACCCATCTACTTAAACTCCTAGGACTAGGTATCTCTATATGGGAAACAAAATGTATGTCTAAGTAGGGCTAATGTTACCTCTCATTTATGTGTGACTACTGCTAATTTCAAGCTATCCAAATTCCAAATTCAGAGTCATATTCTATCAGTACCAAGAGAAGCTGAGAGATATTAGATTAGCCTGTATGGTCAGAAGTGTTTGCTTTTTGTGTCGTGAATCATTTCGGTTAGCAATATCTGTGCTGGCTACCTACCTAGGCCTACGCATCTCACATCTTTGAGAAGACAATACCGTACTAGTAGTATCTGAGAAGATAGTCTTAGTTCTGATTAAATCGTGGAGGATTGTCCATTGTCCATAGAGTACAAGTTTAGTGGGAAAGATCTGCAAGTGTAGACAGTATTACATGCGAAATTTTCAATATATATTATAGTATTAGCGACATCTACCTTGATCGTATTATGCGTGATGCTCTACATTGAATCGATACGACATGGTATGTATCTGGGTAGTATTGGTCATAGTTTCGTGGTCAGTTATGATGCACAAAGTTGATGTCTTCGTAAGGTCTTCTATCTTTACCTTTGCTACTCTGTTTAGACGGATATACTTCTCCAGCATCGGGTTCTTATGAATTTTGATACACTTCATATTTTTCTCACTGAAGCCTCACCGCATAGGAAGAATCTGCATGCAGGTAGCACAAGACTTCGTTATTACTGGACGAGCTGGTTGCTCATCGTTTAGAATACACCACACACCGCAAGCAAACCATTTAGAAAATGCCCTAAGACTTGTACCAGGGTAAAGTCAAGGTTCGTGGCATAGCAGAGAAGAGATCCATACCATACTAATCAGGGGTAAAAGCCACTGACTTCGTAGGCAGAGCAACCGTGCTGCCAACCAACCAACCACGATGACCTCAACGCGCCTAGCATAGAGCAACTCTTTCTGGCTCCCACCTAGTCATCAGTAAGGTCTATCACCTCTGATGGGCGTGGAATCTTGGAAGGCCGGCCTGGTGAATCGTCCTGGGTCAGGTCGAAAACCTCGCCAAACTCACGCTTGATAGTAGGGGTGCTCTCCTTCTTAACGGAATTTTTTTTCTAGACGAGGAAAACTATTAGTTGAATTGGAACGTGAAAAATCAGGCAAGTGAGGCTTACATCGATTTGCTCTAACCTTTCCCTTGCAAGTCGACGAAGTTCAGCCTCGGAGAGTCCATCGAGGGTAGGCGAGTGGGGCGGAGTTGCTTGAAGTATCAATTCATCTCGCAGAGCCTCTGTTTACACGATTAGCTATCACACAAGGATAAGATTCGTGATAGAAGAGCTTACTTCGCGATCTGTACTGAAATCGGAAGACGGCAAGGGGGCCGCCATCTTCCAGGAGGTTTTGGGTGTTGGCGTAACGTGGCGTTACTGTGGGTTCAGTGTTCGCAGAATATCTGGAAAATATTAGGATGTCTTGATCGGGTAGATGTAATAATATTGTCCTTACGTAAAGCCGTGAGAAATTGCCTTTCCCTTCAGAGACTTCTCGGCGAACTCAAGAGAAGTGGCTTCTTCATGATTATGACTTAATGGTGCACTCCCAAGATCAATGGCTCGCCAAACTTCCACTTTGATTAATCCGACTTCTTTGGATGCCTCTGTATCCTTCTTGATACGCTCATTGGTCGCGTCATCAACTTGAACCCGTTAAATTAGCAAATTGTTTATTCTGCATTCTCACTTTGGAGGCTTGAACGTACTGATCTTAACCGCGGCAAATTGAAGTTTGCGAATAACCCAGGATCCAGTGCTCGTAGAAAACTCGTCCTTTCCCTGGATATCACGCCACAGCATTGCGTCGTTTTGTCTTTGAACTGCGCCGCGAACGAATTTGCCATCGACGTAACATCGGAAACAGAGAACGTGTTTTCTGTAGCCCCACCTGTAGCTATGATTTACCTCGAAGCGGATGACGAACTTAGCGTTATCGGACGACTCGATATATTTTGACGATGTGGGCTGAGCAGGGTGCTCAGGAGGTTCGGGGTCATCGTACTCAACACAGTCTACGTTGTTGACGCGAATAGTTACTTTAACACCAGGCACCCCTTCGAGAACTGCCATTGTGGCTCGCAAATTGAGACGAGTGGGTGTAATTAAAGTCAAGTACGAGGAGAGTACTGCAAACAGCGCAGAAACATTGGGGATATTGTTGTTCGCATGAAATTAAGTCATGCAAGAAATAGGTGTTTGATGGGATGAGGTTAGGTAAAATTAGGCAATCGCAACAATAAGCCACGGCAGGTACGTATGTTAGGTATTGTACAAGTTTAGAACGCACTAAACTTCGCGAGAGATACACATATGTATTTCTCCGTGCACGTACCTCCGTACCTCAATTAATTGATCTGAGCGCCTTCCCAATAGATGTATCAGGTCCTAATCTAAACTGAGTAACTTCAACTTAGATAGGCTGAAAAATTCTCCATGTACCTAATTGCCACGGTTCTTCTAAGTAGCGAATACGCGTGATGGTATTTTCATCCTCGATTTAATATCTCCCTGCAAGTAAGCGCCTCGAAGCCACGGAACGGAGATTGGTATCCAAAATTGGTGAGTTGACATGGAACTTCTTTGACAGGACATCATAATAACTACCTAGAGATCGAATATCACCCCCCGCCGTTCTCCAAAGGCTACATATTTGTCGTTGCAATATACCTATTCATTGTCCATCTAGGCTATTAGTCTTATCAACAGGTGCTGGTTTTCAAGTTCCAACAAGCCGCTACCCGGTATCTTATCAGTTTCACGCCACCCGACTCCCCAGGGGCGGTGCGGGATCGATATGTCTCAAAGCTCGG